CCATCCGTTCACTGCACCAGAGCACACTGCGGCTGAAGCTTGAAATTATGCAGTTTGGCAAGGTGCTCGCCCATCATGTCGCCTCGTGTTTTCCTACGGTGCAGCAGACTTCAGAAGCTGTCCTGCTTGCGCGGGCAGTGGCCACTGATGTCTGGACCGATGCCACCTGGCAAAACTGTTGCTCGTCTGCCAAGGCACCTGTACCTTTGCATCGGGCGCGGCAAGCGGAAGCCAGAAAGGTACAGAAGTGGAAGCAAACAATCCCCATGAAGAGACGCGGAAAGAGGACAGTCCACTCTGTCAAACGTGTGCACTCGATTCGATCTTCCGGCGTCAAGCCGAAAAGGCTTCGACGATAGCGTGCAGCAGTGCATCGGATTGGCGATCTTCCGGCGTCAAGCCGAAAAGGCTTCGACGATAGCGTGCAGCAGTGCATCGGATTGGAGAAAAGAAAGTCCAAGCCTCTGTTCATGCATATGTGACATGTGTGTTGAAGATGTGTTTGCAAGTCCGAAGCGATGCAAGTCCTGTGCCACCTTCCTTGTTTAGTTTTTGCAACAGTCTCACCAAGTGCCCTGGTAGGCTTGCAAGGGTTCACTGCAATCGAGGAGGCACGATTGGGGCCTGTGGTTGGTGTTGCCTGGCTTGTTCCAATATGGACCGCGTTGTCGGGTTAACGAAGCGTTGACAAGGAGCTTCGCGTGCCCAACCATCAGCAATCGCCCAACAGCACACAAGCCAGCACGTCCGTTTTCCCACCCAGCCCTCCCATCCATGATTGCTGCCACCACGGACATGGAGGCTGAAACAACCCATCCCATATCCATGAATGGAGAAACGAAAATGTCATACTCACGCAGAGCGCTGCAGTAGGTTGTGGGTAAACATGTTCCGTTGAAAAAGTCGATATTTTGTCTGCCCAACCTTTGGCAGAGCTTTTTCAGCAAGCGTAAGCGTGCAGCAGTTTTCCGCCCAGCCTTCCCGTCCATAGTCGCCACCATGGACATGGAGGCTGAAACAGATCTATCCCATATCCACGGATGAAGAAACCAAAACGTCATGCTCACGCAGAGCGCTGCTGGAGGTTGTGTTTAAACATGTTCCGTCGAAAAAAACTAGAAAGTGCCCAGCCTTTGGCGGAACTTTTTCAGCAAACTTGAAGCAGTTTTCCCGCCCAGCCTTCCCGCCCATTGAAGTCACCACCGTGGAAATGGAGGCTGCAACAGATCCATCCCATACCCATGGATGAAGAAACCAAAACGTTATATCCACGCAGAGCGCTGCAGGAGGTTGTGGATGAACATGTTCAGTTTCAAAAGATTCTGCGTGCCCAGCCCTTCATCTGAGCTTTGCAGCAAGGGCGCAGCAACGAGCAAGCCAGTACATGTGTTTAACAGTCCCACCCTCCCATCCCAGTTACTGTCTCCGATCAACGTCCAGCGCTTCGGAAAGTCTCGCGCGATTATACAAATGTTTGCTGTAGCGCTCATTAGATTGAAGAAGATGCCTTTCTAGGCCAACGAACGAAATAGACCCCAAAGGTCCCTGCCACATATATATATATCGAAAAATACAAAATGTTCCAAGCCACCAACCAGGTATAGTAGGCAAATCACTATCAATGGACCCTCCAAAAACCACAGCAAACTGTGTTGCGTTGCCAGAGGTTGCCATAAAATCAACCACTCCCATCTGTCCCATCTGTTGATGGTTAAACCGTACCACCATTTCAGGGTAACCTTTAGCCACTTCGCCGCGGCCAACGCTTCACCCATCCCCGTTTTTCATCTCCTTTTCCGAGGGGCTGCTGCGGAGCGACGCAACGGGGCGACCGTCAATCCAAGACGGGGCGGCTGGGCGACGGGCAAATCTCTGATCTAAGTTGACGAAGAAATGCGTTTAAGAAAGCCATAAACTATATATATTCTGAGCTAAGATGTTTCAAAATATATATTACCAAATCAATTCATGTTTGCAATCATGAGTGACACGTGCATTGCTCCCATGTTTCAGCATGTTTCAACCAACTCAATTCACCGGATGAACTGGGCTGTAAGACTGACGAGCATCCACCGCAGTGAATTCATGTGATACAATCCATGCAGCTGGCAACTCTCGTGTCAGGACTTCATTGGCTGTGCAGAAAAGACCATTGATGTAAAAATGGGGTACCCTAAAATCCTGTTGTGTAGAAAATTGTTTCACTCTTGCAATCGCAATTTGGGGGTGTCTCCTGTTCTTGAAGCCAAATGGAGTACCACTGGACCCACAAATAGCATTTGCTGAGGCAACCTCTTGCTGGAATTCCAGAGTCGACCACATGACCACCGCTCTGAAAATCGCTTGACACAATCTGCCGCCAGCTGCCTACTACTTAAGGCATCGACATGAAACGATGCGTCAAACCGAGTTCCGCGCGTGTTGCACGGTGGCAGGGTGCTCGCAGTGGTAAGATCCACAAGTTGTGTCAATGGCAGCCATAAGACCCAACAGGTAAGCCAAGGATGCACCAGCCATGCAAGTTCCGTTGCTATGCGTCACCTGCATCAATAGACCTAGTTGGCCAGGTCAGATCAATCCAAAAGGATGCAAAGGACAGAAAGCTCTACCACCTAGTGACATGTCGTGTCAGAAAAGGTCTTTCCATTGGGAGTTCCACGGAGTTCCATTCACGGCACCGGATGATTGATACCCTCTGGTAAACGGGCTAACATAACTATGGAATGGGTAAATCACCATCTTTAATGGGTAAATCCACTATAAATGGCCATTTTCAATAGCTATGTATGTTTACCAGAGGGTAACACAGCCCTTGTTTTGCGTGGCGTCGCTCCTCGCCTTGTAAAGAGACCCGAGCGTTTTAGCCTCAGCGAGGAGTCGAGGACTTAAACGTGTCGGTTAGCATTCTCTCATGAACCAAGAGTCCTATTTGGAGACAGGGCAAAAAAAACAACACAGTGCATCTACAAACAATCTATATATCTATCTATCTATCTATCTATCTATATATATATGTGGTAAAGCCAACAATAAACCATCCCCATCCCCGATATGTTTCATCATTGGCTGGTTTTCCATCCCCAAATGATCCAAATCTCCGTCCGGACTTAGGCCCACACGTCGGGTTCAGGTGACCTGGCGAGAAAAACTCAGCGAGTCATTGAGTCTATTTTAATCTGTAGATATACAAATAGATGAGATGGTATAACTGTATAACTGATTCAATATAGAACTAGAATGTGTATAGTACATATATATGTATATATATTTATGTATATATATATATATATGTATATATATATATGTATATATATATATGTATATATATATGTATATATGTATATATATATATGTATACATATATATATGTATATATATATGTATACATATATGTATATATATATGTATATATATGTATATATATATGTGTATTACAATATGTATATATGTGTGTATATATATATATGTATATATATATATATATGTATGTATATATATATATATGTATATATATATATGTATATATATATGTATATATATATATATTTATGTGTTTATCTTTTCATGCATATATCTGTTGTGATTATATCCCTGCAAACTGCCATGATGACCACATATAATGCGATCAAACGATTATCCTCCTCTTAGCACTGCGGGCCTGCGGGAGTGGTTCAGCAGCATTGGTCTGAAAACTGGGTACTCCAAATGTTGTCCCCTGTATGGATGGATGGATCTATGGATGGACGTATGTCTATGTCTATGTCAATGTATGGTTATGGTAATGGCATTGGTGGTGTTATGGTGGTATGGTATGGTACATGCATAGGTATATGCATATGCATATGGATATGTAATATGTATAATTATATATATACATACATAATATGTACCACTGCATAAATTGGGGTAAATCCGTGTGAATCTCCATTTTTGGCAAACCCAGTGCTTCAACCCGCTGAAATCCAGGCTTGGCCACGTGCACTCCTCTCACATAAGGGGTGGTTGATGGGCGGCTCTGCTTGCCTGTCCCCAAGGCCGGTCCACTGTTGCATGTTACCAGTTAAGACTCTGGCCCCACTGAACCTGGAGAACTTGGACTTTAAAATCCGCAAAAATCACTTCAAAACATGTCAAAACATGTCAAAACATGTCAAACATCGTAGAAATTTTCATATCCACTGGCTGGCCCTGCAGTGGCCCTAGCGGCCCTAGCCTTGACCCCCGGCCATGATGTGATTGGCCCACCTGAGATGCTCTCGTGCTGATCGGCTCATGACCGGCTTTTGAAAGCGTGCTCTGAGTGCTCTGAGTGCTGCACATCTTGAGACTCTCTGCAGAAGGGAACCGTAAATCCAGCTTGGGCATACTGAGCTCCTGCTATGCAGGTTTACCAGTAGCTTTACCCTTCGTGAATCTTCGTGGCTATCACAGAAAAAAAATGCTGCCGACCGTGAACAGAAGATTGTTTGGATACATAATCCTCTCTATAAAATCAGGAAATTTGCCCATTTCAACCATGGAATGTCCTGCCACCGTCCATCCGGAAGCATCAGCACAATGCCCACAGGCGACACCCTGGAAGCTTGGACGCTGATCATTTTCACGGTGCCAGTCTTCAAATGGGGGCTTCCATAAATTGGGGTACCCCAAAATGGATGATTCATAATGGAAATCCTATTAATGTTCATGATTTGGAGGGTACCACCGTTTTAGGAAACCTCCAATTGTCTATGAATGTGGTTGCAAACGAATTTGTAGCGTCACAATCTGATTTGATCTTCGTGTGCGAATTGAAGTTTCTGGGAAATGCAAATTTGCTTGCACATCAGCTCATGTCAACCAGTTGAAGGCCACACGGGTGTCTATCAAATCCCTAAAGAAACCAAATGTTACATCTTTGAACAGAAAAGAAACCTGTCATGAGTCATGTCTATGTATATGATTCTATCTCATTTTATATCCATGGTTTCTATTCAGAAAGCCGCGCTGAAACTCAGGCGTTACCGTTGCCCGAACTCAATCTCAGGCCAGAACCCATTGGGATCCCGCCGTGCCACCGTGAAGTCTGCGGTTCGCGGGCAATCTTCTGTGACAGAGATATGATGGGGAGATCCAACCAAAGCAGCTCTGCAATTCACGGGATTTCTTTCCAAGCCAAACACAGCAGCTTTCCAGCCTGCTGTGTCGGGTTCTTCCGGGTCCAGGGTACCCACCAAAGTTAGCTCTTGGTTGCCTGGCGTGCCGTGCAACGCTCATCTCGGGGCTCATCTCCCCGTTTACGAAGGTGGCGTGGCGGCTGCACCTTCATCCATATGCGAGATGCAAACCCTCCGCAGTTCGATGAACGCGTACCTCAAGGAGCAGAGATTACCTCACCCTGACTTTGGATAAAGATGGATTACGATGGATCAAGGCATGATACCGCCGCAGTCCACCACAGACAAAATCCCCAGGGCACGGAGCGCCCATCTGTGGGTGAGCAGCAAAGAACAAGAGCCTTGACCGAATGGAAACATCTGCGAATATAAAGAATAAGAATGCCATCATAAGAATCAGTTGCTCTCTCTCTCTCTCTCTCTCTCTGATGCATGAAAGCATGAAAGACAGTTTTCTCTACTTCACCAAACTCTTGTCGTCCAACCATCACAGGCTAAGACTGTGGCGTGTAAACCACTGACAACCAAGCAAAGTCATCCCTTTTTGCCATCCGGTTCGGTGCCTGCAAGCTTTGGGAGTGTGGAAATCATCCAAACCTAAAATTTTGAAACCGCAAAACCTGGGCCATCTGTGAGGTTTCAATAGCTTGGGACCAAGTGATTTGCCATCTTATGTCATTTTTCGGGATTCGAATCCCATGGGACTTGGGGGTCTTGGAGAAATACTGCATCTTTGCCTCCGACTTCTTCAAGTCGGTGCCCGCGGCCAGGGGACTCCGGACGATGCCTGCGACCGCAAGTGTTGTATCAAGGGTGTTCTGGTGAACTCAAAACTGTAACTCATTTGGAACAAATAGATCTAAATGATCCAAAAACATGATTGTTCCATGTTCATAGCAAACAATGGTCCGAGAAAATCTCTGGGTTGGAGGGCCATATTTTTTGGAAGCATACCCAGCTGGTGTCTGGTTGTTTGGTAGCATCCGGCCCCCCCGAGTTGCCACTATAGCCGCCTGAGTTTCCGTGGGTCACTTCACTGAAAATACTGGAGACATGCCTCAGGAACACAGGATGATCAGATGCTGAAGCAGGGTCAGGGTGGGGGTGCCTGCAACAGTGCGGCCCATCTGTGATGGGATAAGACCCAGGTCCAATCCATCTAACTTGCATAGATGTCATGTTCCTGGCATCGGAAAGGATATCTGGACCTGTTCTGTTTGATGTATAGCCTGGACAAATCACCAGTCTGCCAAAATTCAAGCCGAAGCCAAGCGGCGAGTAAGTCACAGTTTGAACTCCCGCGGCTCCTGAGCAGGGCTGGTGACGGCAGGATATGACAGGGTTTGCAGCCAAACTCATCTGTGATCACCTGTGTAGACTACAAAGGTGTGTCTGTGTATGTATATATATAGTATATATATAATATAATATAATAAAAAATAATAAAATAGAATACAATACAATACAACATAATATAATATAGTATAATATAATATAAGATAAGATACTATAATATAGTATGAATTGAATATAATATAATTTTAATGTAATAATACAATATAATACAATATAATGTAATATAATGTAATATAATATAATGTAATATAATATAATATAATATAAATATAATATTAACATAATATTAACATAATGTAATATAATATGATATGATATGATATAATATCTATAATATAAGATAAACTAAGCATGTGCCAATTTCATGGGAATGAACATGATGATTTCCTGAGCTGAGCCCCCGTGCCACTGGGCTTTGGGAAGCCACCCCCAACGATTTGTGCCCAGCCTGGCACAGCCATCACTGTTTCGGGAGTAACCACCGAAAAAAACATCAGCCAAGGTTTATACAAATCATGATTCATCCAAAGTTGACATTTAATCTGGTCCAGTCTGATCTCATGATCTAATCGAATATAATCGTTCCATTCTTGTACTATAGATAAATTCAGTTCTACACAAATAAATAAATAGATAAATAAACAAATAAATATATATATATATGACATCACATATATATATAATATATATTCTTCGAACTCCAACCCATTTATATACATCAGAAATTGGCGGAAAAATCCACTCCAAAAAGCCAAGTTCGCACCTTCGGCTGCCGCAAAGGGCGCCAGTAGTGGCGCTGTTGGCCTCTCTGCCGCGATCTCCCCCGGACCACCACCTTCATCTGGACCCCTCGGCAGCTCGTTGTGAAAGAAGATCGGGAAAGACTTGGAGAAAATATGGGGAAAATTGACTTGAACCAAAGTTGCATATCTTGTGATATCTTGTGGTCTAAGTTAAACTTCTCTAGTCAAAGGAAATGAGTAGAGAGCCAATACAATACTACTACAAAGTTCAGAGTAGACTCAGTACTCATGGCTGGTCTTCAATTTTTGAGTCACTGAGGGCCCAACCCTTCACCTTTTCTCTGCGCCGATGCAACTGCAAGCTCTGGAATGAAGGCCTTCAATCGTGCAGGATCAATGAAGAACAGCCGTGGTCGGGAAACTCAATTCGTAGCTCTAGGAGAATGGATTGACCACAGTGCAGCAACTTCAAAAGTGAGCCTGTCCTTTCCCTTCTGTCGGCTCGAAAGCAGCAAGCTCACCCGAAACTCCCAGCACTGTCGTGTGGCAGGTATATCGTCAACTGCTATCTTTAGTTTTGTCGTAAAACAAGGTAATTGCCCCCTGGATCCCATAGTTGATCACATGTCTAATTAAAAATAGAATCACAAATTGCCATCACGTGGGGCATCCCCTATCACGTATATCATGGTGATACCATGGAATATAACTTTTATAACTTTTATAACCATCATTTCACGGGGCATTCCCTGGCATCACCGTGGCCGTGGCTGTGGCCTTGTTCACCAAAGTGTAGACCTGCTGCTGCACGTGGTCGGGCACATTGGTCCCATTCGTCTCGATGCCGCGATTCAGCCGCTGCCAGGTGGCAAAGTCCATCTCCTGGAAGGCTGTGGAGGTCATGGAAACTATGGCTGGGTGAAAATTGAATCAGAAAATGTTGATCAATATATATATATTATATATATATATATAATCATATATATATAATCATATATATATAATCATATATATATAATCATATATATAATCATATATATATGTATACATATATAATTATAAGTACATATATATATATATATGTTATTTCCAACATCGATTGGTCAATCAGAATATAATTTAACTAAATCTTTAATCTGTTGGTTACCCTGGTTAGCTTGAATGTTAATAGCATAATGGTTAGTTGTTAATGTCTGCAAATCCATAACAATTTTCTCAACATGGCCATTACGGGCATGCGGATCAATTCCTGTGGTCCTTTGACGATTCGAGTGGGGTTCTGAACCCAATAATAACCCATCCCTGAAATCATCATAAATGGGTTGTATAAACCATCCCCAAATGGTTGTTGTTTCTGAAATTGGAGTTTACCACATTACGTAACTTGCTTGCAAGGTCCATGCACCCCAGTCCTTCTTGGCAGCATTCGGGCCATCTCGATAAAGATACCAATGAAGCAGCACAGTGGAGAACATGAGCTGGCGGACCAGAGCCACATTTAGAAATCCCACTGGAAAAGGCCAGTAAGCTATCGGTAGATCATCATTTTCCGACATGATTCGGGACATATCATCTAAATTCCATATTCTATCAATGTGTCCATGTGTAGTTGCTACGGTACATCCCAACTCAGCGGCTTGTCAGCCGCTGTTTGCGCCTGGTGCAATACATCTGAGCCAGACAGGTATTGTTTCAGCTCCAGGCCACACAGCTCCTGGTGAAAAATCTCTGGAAAACCATGGGATTTCCCAACAATCCACGGTGATGAAAATTATCACAGGCAAAGCCATATCGTAGTTACATGTAGTTACTACTTACCGTACATCTACTTACTGCAGCTATAGCATGCTGTTAACAGGTTCTGTATTTATGAGGGTCTATGGTGAATCTCCGAGGTGCAAGACCTGACCATCCATGCTTTTGGAAAGCCTAAGCGAACGGGTGATTCAAGTCCATCGAGTGGATCCAGGTTCAAATCTTAGAAGTAGTGTATATATGTGTATATCATGTATATCCCAAAAAAATATAAAAGAATGATAATCATTTTCCGCACTTGCCATATCTAGTGGCAATCCCCCGTGTATTGATCTTAAAACCTCATGTTTTCAGACCGTGCCCACCATTTAAGCTCCTGCGTCAGATGAAGCTGCATTGAGCCATTCTCTGAACCTTGCTTCTGGCGTGCAGGCACCACCTCAGTGGAAAACTCAGCACATCTTCCCTGAAATCAGCGGTGATGTCGCTGAGGATGCCAGCTCCAGATGATTCCCGTTGCATCCTCTCGTGCTGCCTAGCACTTTGAGAATCCGGAGGGATCTAACTGATGTAACCACTAAAAATGGGAGTATAAAACTAACCACAATGCGGATATAGTGAGGATATCATGTAATATGTATATGTAGCATTTAGATAGCAAGCAATATTATTTGGTTTTGTCTATATCTATGGGGGAATCATATCCAATATCTGGTCATTTGAACGTGTTTTTAAACCAGGTAACCATGGGATTTATTTTGGGGGTCCAAATTTTAAGACAACCCCTCTGTGAGATCTTTATCCCACTAGGACAAAACGATGGGACCTCGCCTCCACCAGATTCGAGCTACCCCATGAACCAGGCGATTGATCTTTTGCCTGGCATGGAAACGCGCCACATGATTGGTCTTTCTGGCAGCGACTACAGTAATGATACAGCGAAGAGGGAGATTTCATGGTTTGATTGCGAAGATTTAGAAAAAACATCATGATTCCCATAATAATTTGACAATTCCCATGATGACAATTCCCAGGATGATTTGATCAAAAATCCTGAAAAAAAGAAGGAGATTAGCTAGAGGCGCCCCTCATAGGTGCAGTGGTCCAACCATCATCCAATCGGATCGGATCGGCTCAACACAGGCGGTCCACAAATCGTCTGGCAACTGAAGCATATGGAAGACCTGGTCCAGGGCTGATGTCAACGGAGCATTTTTCAACATCCTTTTTGGAGGCTTAGAATGGCTTAGACTTCTTTGAGAGTGAAAAATTTCAGGGAAAAAAAATTCAGGCAAGAAAAAGATTGATGCCTGGGAACACCCCTATTACATCCTATTACTGTATGAAATATCCCCTTAGTAACCTTGGTTTAGTGTTTGGATCTGAAAAAATGGGGGGCCCGGTTTTGGAGAGTTTTTGGGGAGCCAGCCCCTGATGAATCAATGAAGGGCTTCACAATGGGACCTGGATCAGTGCAGAGACCACACCAGTGTTTTGCAGAACCTGGGCCAACGTGCCGAGGTTGTCAGTTTCGAACCAGAATCCACGTGCAGTTTCGAAAAATCCCTTAGCCTTAATTCAGGACCCAAAATGAATAGAGTCGATGCCAAACCACGGTTGTTACGGTTGTATTTCACATTCGGAAGGGATTACTACCAGAAACTCCATCGTCACAGGTTCCGCAGCCTGACTTCGGATCTGCTAGGGGTGCGACCACCGAATTCAGAAACTCCAGGCGGATCGTGTGCGAAAGCGAGAAGGCCTCACTGGTTGATCATTGTTGTCCCCGTTATAACCGTTATGCAATGGTCATAGCTTTAGGTATTCCATGGTATTCCCGTTGTTGGACAAACCCCCATTTAAAATCCCCAGGACTCAGCTACGGCGCGACGGTTTATCACATGAGGATTCTCATGTTTTCATGTTCAAGATGGGTAGAGTTGTCTGGGGAAGACCTTGCAAAGAGATGCCCTGTACTGAATCCAGGACTCTCAAAATGCCATTGGAAAGTAAGCCTTTGATGAAACAAAGATCCTGGGGCCCTGGGGGCCATTCCATTTGACTTAAATGTTGACTCTTCATGCACGGACTGAGAGACAAAGAAACAGCTTGGTAGGTAGGTCTATGGATAGATATTATGCACAATGCACATTGTGTGCATCCCATCAAATCCGTAACCCAAACGCAACCATCAAAATCAGCCAGTCAGGCCTCTCCTAAGAAGTTGCCGACCTGTTTGATGTCAACCTCAGTATTTTCCAGCTGAGTCCGGCTGAGTCCGACTGAGTCCGGCTGAGTCCGGGACTTTGCTCCGTCGCAAAAATGTGGACATATCGACCTCAGATTTGCAGCTGCGGCGAAAATGTCTTGACCCACAATCATTGGATGATATTGTATGTCCCGAACTCACAAACCCACCTTTCGTAAGATCCCGAAATTATCAAACAATGTCAGATATGTACTGTACATGGTTTTGGTTTGTTTTTGATTTGGGGTATACCCCAATTCGTGCTTTAGAAAAAATGTCTTTCCCAGCTTTGGATTGCGGGTGCCCTACGGCAATCCCCCGCGAACTGCGCCCCCGGCGGGGTAATCACGTGCCACGCCGCTAGCCACCAGGAAAGCTAAGCCAAAGCCGGGCCTCGGGAAATGTTTGGAGCTAATCAAACACAGCAATCGAAAATCCCAAAATCCCGATTAAAAGATGAGTTTGCAATTGAAACGCCCATTATTTAGGGGATCTCCCAGCTAGCCATGCTTGATAACCATAGGGTAATATTCATTTTGAGGGGAAGGGATTGTGAAATTCACTTGGGTTCATAGTCCAAAGGAGAATATACTTGAAACTACACAGGAACCACATGTGCCTCAATGCCTTAGTGCAGGGCTGGCGGTTGAAAATCAGAGTGCCAATGCGTTGAAATTCCTGCAGACATCCATGTCGGCATTCAACCAAGATGTCGTTTGGCCACTGCTGTCATCATAACATTCATGCACAGGTGCTGTGATGGGCGTGGAGGTTCGAGGTGAAAATTCCCTGGAAACCCCACATCTACGCCCGCTGGAAGCCACCTTCTTGAACTGCTGTGACCGGATAACAGGTTGTCTCGGCACAAAGAAGGGCTCATACTGCAGGCGGCTGCCTACAATGTCCTGACAGGGCATCAAAAGGCTCCTCTCCAGTTACTTGCCTTGGGGGATAGTTGGTTACATCGGGAATGGGGTATGCACCAACAATTATGGAATGTGATGGGAATATAATGGAAAATGACCGAAGCCCTCCATGCCCATTCAATCTTTTCTGATTCTAGGCAAGGGTGCGAAACATGGCAAATCCACAGCATTCCTATATGGTGAAAATGTATCCGTCAAGTGCTCTCCCACCCAGTGCCTCAGCTTGGTTCGAGTCCAAGGGGAATTCCCAAGCATCGTGCGGTGACTCTCTCCTTTGCTTGGCTCAGAAATGGGAGAGTTAAAATGGGATTTTGGGGTAAGCGATATTTGGACACCAGGAGATTTGTTGGTACGGGGTTGGATCATTGTCGGCAAAACTGAGACCTATTGGGCATCTGAAATCCATCCACTTAAGAAATAAAGCTCCCAGGCATAGCCAATCAGCCCCTGTGGAGCCCTGCTGATGCATCTCATAGGAACGGATGGCCTGGTGGTTCTGGTTGAGTTCGCTCCAAGCTTAAGGGTTTTAATCACTAGGACACACTGCCAGGTGTTTGCTTTCCCGAGGATTTACCCACTAACCCTGTGTACTTCAGGCGTAGGTTTGGCCACCGTGGAAGCCTTTCTTGCTCTATGTTGTTTGCATGCAACTCTGTCAACAAGGCCATCACAGGCTTTGAGACTTCAGAACGTTGATTAATTTGTCATTTGCACATCCACCTAAATTGATCGGAAATGATGCATTTTTGCTGTCATTGCCGTGGTTCTGAATTCTGCTATTTGGATTGGATTGGATTGGGCTTTGAGTCGGCTGCCCTCCTGCCAAAATCAATAGCTCCAGAAACGTCGTGGAGGCTATGTGGCAGAAAACGCAAGGAATTTGCGTCTCTGTAACAACGAGACTGAGAAACAAGACTGGTCCTGCCTCATATGTACCATTGTCAGCGCAAAGGTCAGTTGGCACCTACGAAGCATGACGCCGGAAAGGCTGATGTCAATTTCCATCATGGTGTCAGATTCTGGGAACCGACATCAACTCTGATTGGTTGAAACCCCGTGAATAAGATTAGTCAATTGGTTGTTTCAATATCGGCTAAAAATTGATCATTTTGACACCACAACCACAACCATTTACGGATTGGTTATAGCCACTCACTCTACCCCGATTTTTGCTGGTTTTATAATGTCTCTTTGTTGCAGCCAATCCAAACGTCCTTCGTCTGGCACCTGCCCCTTGCCGTTCCTTTGGGTGAGCTTGGCACCAGCCTGCAGCACAGCATGGCAATGCTTAGTTCGCTGGGTTGTTTGAAGAGATTGTCAGACAGGAAACCATGCCCTGTACTCCTCCTGTACTGGCCAATTGTGGAGGGATTCCTGTAATTTTCCTGTAGGCCAATTGTGGGATTGGGAATTTTTTCATCGATTGGATGGTGTTCATGTGACGAAAAAAAAACCAGCTGCTCGAGAAAAACCAACCTGCAGCAGTCTGATGACGACTTCTCTTCGGCCAACGTGGACCTCAGAGTCGCTGCTCAGTAAACCAACAGTAAGGCTTTGAGATGGGTCTTTGGGTTTCCATCAAACGATTTATGTTGTGTTTATCATGACCTATCATCGTTTCTCCATTTTTGAGTGGTAATATATTGGTGAAGGTCCGTCCCCCATTCAGACCCGCACCGCTATATGAAGCGGTGCCCAGCCAGCCATGTCAATGGCCTGACGACTCGGGGAGATGATATCCAGAATTCTTCATTGATTAGCAAATAGTATGATTGCAGTCTATATATATACTGTATACTTATTTATCGATGTATGTGTATGTCCATAGATATGGTAGATTGCATCATCATATACTGTAAATCGTAACATAGTATGAAACTTGTAGAAATACCTCTGGATTATAGTATGATTACGATGGTGATGATCATGATGATCATGATGATCATGATGATCATGATGATCATGATGATCATGATGATCATGATGATCATGATGATCATGATGATCATGATGATCATGATGATCATGATGATCATGATGATGATGATGATGACGACGATTATGATCCTTCCCGGTCCGGGCAAACGATGGCGTTTGACCATATCATTACTACATCGAAATACTATGGCTTAAGGGATTGTATTTATTCTGATGGTAATACCTCTGGATGAATCATCCCCTGCCTCTAGGAGCTGCTGGTGCTCCATCATCTCCTGAAGCCAAATGGAGCTTTCCCCAATCCCAATTGTTCAGAGATTAGATCATCAGTTACACGGATTATCTCATTTTCTTCATGGCCACATGTAGGTTAGGCCAATGTTTGTTAGACTCACCCTGCATTTGTTTATGGCTTTTGAGATATGTTGTAAGAGCTCAGCGAGCTCAGCCCATCTCTGAGGTGTCGACTCTCACGATGGCCAAAGTGCCGGAGCGGCAAGCCACGTGCAAACAGCTGGTGCCATTCGCATCACAGGCATCCCAATGGGCCCCTGGAAAAGCAGAAAAGGTGGTCAAAACAAATAGAGAGAGAGAGATGGAAAGAACGGAATCAAACACTAGGATTGTATGGATAATAACAGTATATGTTTTTTGGGTATCTATCTATCTATCTATCTATCTATCTATCTATCTATCTCTCTATCTATCTATATATATATGTATAGAGATCATATGTACATCGGTGAGTCGGCTGCACAGCATGCAGCCGGAAATGACGCCCTCCAGACTCCAGACACGCTACTCAGCCTGATCGCAGCAGACCCCGCCTAGTTGCATGAGCCATCGCACTGCAGCCAAGTTCGATGAGGCACAAAAGAGCATGAGATGTCGATCCAGGCTGTTTAGGTCCTGCAGGTAATGGGGTGAGGTGATCTCAGCGTGTACGGAATCCTTTTATTGTTACCATTAGATCCCCATGATTGTTGGAAATGTCCCCATTCTTAGTCATTACTTTATGTTGGTTGTATCCCCAGGATTTTCATGTTACAACCAAATCATCAACCAAATCATGTTATTCCTTCATTGTTGCTGATATATCTAGTCTTGTATACCCATATCCTGCTCATGTGTTTTTCCTTTTAATAGCGCAATGTACTCCCCAGTATGTTCATATGTTATAACCTAAGTTGCAACTGAAGGGTTTGGTAAAAGTCCTAATTCTTCACATCACCCAAGAAGAAAGGAAATCTTCCATCGTGTGTATATATATATATATGTATGTGTGTGTGTTTGAGTTATATATATACATATATACATACATATACATAATAAATATATATATATCCATATACATACATACATACATTACATTACATTACATTACATTGCATTACACTACACTACACTACACTACATTACATTACATACATACATACATACATACATTACATACATACATTACATACATACATACATTACATACATCACATTACATTACATTACACTACACTACACTACACTACATACATACATACATTATCTACATTACCTACATTACCTTACCTTACCTTACCTTGCCTTACCCTACCTTACCTTACCTTACCTTACATTGCATACATGCATACACATATACATATACATATACATATACATATACATATACATATACATACACATATGTATATATATATATGTACGTATGTATCTATATATATACATATATATATATACGTATATACATAAATATATATATATGTATACATACATACATATATATATATATATATACGGCAAATGCCTGGGTTTTGCCCGGACCCGCAATGACGACGGGCGACGCATCATCATCATCATCATCATCAACATCATCAAACCCTTATTGACGATCTTCAATGAATGTAGAAGTTTAACGGGGGTGGGAGAATTAAACCCTTATTGGAGATCTTCAATGAATGTAGAAGTTTAACGGGGGTGGGAGAATTTAACCCTTATTGAAGATCTTCAATGAATGTAGAAGTTTAACGACGGTGGGAGAATTAAACCCTTATTGAAGATCTTCAATGAAAGTAGAAGTTTAACGGGGGTGGGAGAATTAAACCCTTATTGGAGATTTTCAATGAATGTAGAAGTTTAACGGGGGTGGGAGAATTAAACCCTTATCGAAGATCTTCAATGAATGTAGAAGTTTAACGACGGTGGGAGAATTAAACCCTTATTGAAGATCTTCAATGAATGTAGAAGTTTAACGGGGGTGGGAGAATTTAACCCTTATTGGAGATCTTCAATGAATGTAGAAGTTTAACGGGGGTGGGAGAAGTAAACCCTTATCGAAGATCTTTAATGAATGTAGAAGTTTAACGAGGGTGGGAGAATTAAACCCTTATTGGAGATCTTCAATGAATGTAGAAGTTTAACGGGGGTGGGAGAATTAAACCCTTATTGAAGATCTTCAATGAATGTAGAAGTTTAACGGGGGTTGGAGTTTAATATTCCCTAATATCTTTGTTGATCTCCCCAATTGAATGTAAAGCTTAACGGGGGTGGGAGTTTAATATTCCCTAATACCGTTTTTGTTTTTCCCACAGGAATTTCGGGTGTTTTGACATTTTTTTAATATAGTCCCTAGTACCTTTGTTGTTTCCCCAAAGGAATTTAAGGTTTAACGGGGGTGGGAGTTTAATATTCCCTAATATCTTTGTTGATCTTCCTAATTGAATGTTAAGTTTCACGATTTGAGAGTTTAAAATGTCCTAGTACCTTTGTTGTTTTTCCCATAGGAATTTCAAATGTTATGCCGTTTTTGTTTTTCCCATAGGAATTTCGGGTGTTTTGACCTTGTTTGTTTAATAGTCCCTAGTACCTTTGTTATTTTCCCAATAGGAATTACGGTAATTTGCAACATCATTTGTTTGTGAATGGGAAACCTCTACGCTGCAACGCCTGGGCAAAACCCAGGCGTTGCGCGTATATATACGTGTATGTGTATATATATATATTTATATACATACATATATATATATGCATATATATATATATACATATGTAAGTGATGTTCAAAGAAAACCCCAAAACAGGAGAATCCCAAGCCATGATCTCCTCCAAGGTTTCCTCGAAGGTGGCCCCTGCTGGGTCTCCACCAGGTCGGTCATCATCAAAGTCATCGCCGCCTCACCGGAAAGCCACAGGTTTTTTAGTCGGGCTATCGTCCGTTCACTGGGGTTTAGCTGTAACCAAAGACCATGGATTGGGGGTTAAGCCCCTATCACTATAGGGGGTTAGGCTGTTTAAAAGCCATGAATTGGGTCTTACGAGGAGGGTTCCGCAAATGGCTTGAGTCTCCCAGTCTGCACAGCTCTTTAAGCAGTGCCTGTCGAGCTGTTTGTCTTCTGAAAAAATGGAGTTTCACGGCATCTCTGGTTTATCGTCATTCTTGCCATCAAAGTTGCCATAAAGTGGAACGAAATCTCCATTTGGGATAAACCCATATAATGGTGTTCTCATGATGTTTGATATGTTGGTAAACCGTCATTTTTGCTTTCTTAAGATCCGTTAAAGTAGATTAATGTCTATTAACATCCGCTAAAATGCACTTCATTCATCAATTAAATTTTACTAAAATCCATTCAGATCGGCTAAAGTCTGAAGTCCATTAAAGATCATTAAAGCCCCTTCAAAAATCCTATCAAAAATCGCTGGCTCTCGTTCTGTTGACAGCTCCTTGCCCAGGTCGAGTGCAGTCTGCTGCGCAGTTGGAGCAGGCCTGGTGTAGTCCCGGTTGACTCATCTTTTTGGGGGAGAATCTATAGTAAAAGATTGATGATGAATATATCTATAATATATTCTATAATCATCTATACTCATCTATAATCTATACTAGATGATCCTGGAAAAAGCATGTTTATCTTTTAGGATATTTATAATACTAAAGTCGTACGAAACTGGTGAATAATACCAAAATCTGGAGGTCCGGGCCTCTATTTTCTCCCAATGGCGAAAACTCTAACCCACCAAGCCTTTGTGCAACTCTGTCGAGCTCCCATGGCGGCGCGGAAGAGAGCTTAGCTTGACAAACGTGGGATGTTTTCTACGGCTGAAGACTGTGGGTTGCGTGATGCATGGATTGAAACCAAGAGTTGTCTGCTTTCAGTCTCAAGGAACCAAAGAAACTGCTCTTCAAAAGCTGAACCATGGAAGAACCAGTGCGCTGAACTTGAAAGCAGCAAAGCTCTGTCAGCTGAGTTCGTAGGCATTGCATTGTCTTGACTGCCTTTGACTCCAACCCAAGTGTGACCGGAAGATCCAGAAGCAACGTTGCGGGCAGCATGCAGAGTCATGCGAATGATGGGACCACAGCTGCCAACTGGTACGAATCTGAGACGATGCAGCCGGGTCATCTTTGGACAAGCTGCATGATCATCACGGCTGTCCGCTCGAATTGGCATCAAGCCAGGTGCTTGATGGCCTACACGTGCTAAACTGATTCCAAACCCCCGGAACCTTGACACCACTGCACCATATGGCCAATCACCATATCCCATGTCACTGGAGTTCCAAGTGGCTAAGTGGGCCCAAGAGTCCCTGGGCCTGCAACTTGATGCTAGCCCTTAGCCCAGCCCATATCTCCTATCCAGTGGCCTTATGGTACCTGTACAAACGCAAACTTGACGCTGCCAAAGCTTCATCGGCTTGCCTCGGGACTGACCAATCTGTCAACCCTGCACCACTGATCCATGGGTCATCCTTTGCTGTTGGTACTGATTTGGGCGTGCACGATTCCACATTGCTAGGACAACCCTGACTTTTCCCTACCATGCAGCTGCCAAAACTCAAGCACCAAACCGGGTCAGACTTTTTAAGGCTGGTACTTAGGTGAGCAAGCTGTCCACCAGTTCGCATGACTGCGAACTAGGCCGGCCTGTCATTTGAATTCGATCTTGTCTTAACCCTCTGTTAATCAAACATGGCAATAGAAAATCCCCCATTTAGAGATGATGTTCCCACTTAGATGTCCATTTACAGGGGTTCCCGTTGCCATGCAATTCTGGAAGGTAGCTGGATGCTCAAGAGTTGTTTCGTGCAGACTTGACATGCGCTTTCCGCTTTGCAGTTTCCCGTTTGACCTGGATACGTTTTCAGGTTCTGTGAGGCGGACTGGTTACTACTCTTTCATCGGTGGAAGAGTAGCCTTTTTAGGGTTTCATCGAACCTGGCCAAATCCAACAAGAAACCAATCATTTGGGGATGACAAAAAACATCACCCATTCCATTTATAGATTAATATAGATTAATATTGGGGATGGCTGATATGGCTGATGAATGCTGATGATTTAGCCAGGGGTTTACCAGCTGAAGGTCAGCCAGGTCCGCCAGGTCCCACCTTTCCACGCTTCAGCCAAGGTGAGCTGTCGCCTGGTCAGACACCCGCACGCGCGGTCGACACCTTCAACTGGGGCTTTGTCCAACTAGCCATTTCCGGTACAGTAAGTGACATGATTTTAGACTATCCATTAGTTTAGTTGAACTATTCAACTGATATAGTTCAAACTGGGGTCAGTGATTCAGATTCTATTCGTGCTGGGAACATGAAACCTCCCACGGTCGCAGATCATTGAGCTACTGCCTGGCGATGCTCTGACTGCTTGAGATGCACCTCATACCAGGAAGTCAGGAGTGGATGTTGTGCTGAGGAGCTGTACATAGATTGGCGTGGCTCAAAAGCTGTGGCCCAACACTAACAACGAAAAAAATCTGTGGGTTTCAGGTGTTCAAAATGTCACTCATACCACATACCCAGATAAAGCCAGATCATCTTAAAATCAGGTGCTATTGATTTTCCACCAACTTAAATCCGCCTTGGTAACCTAGGTGCACTGACGGCGCCGCAGGCGGCGCAGGCGGCGCAGGCGGCGCGGAGCAGCTGAGCGCTGCGTGCCGGCGCTTCTTGTCGGGTCGAACCTGGGGTGATCAGTCCCGGGGGTTGGAAACCTTGGAAACTAACCCCGAAAATAAAGATGGAAATCCGAGTCTAAGCCAGTGGTTTGCTTTCCTATATCCATCTTCTTGGGGGTTGCTAGAGTGGAAAATCGACAGGAAATCTCTGAAATCAGATGGTAGGAACCTTAGGAACATGCGAAAAAAGATTTGTTTCTTCCTGTTTTGCTTATAAATCAACCCAGTGGTTAAGGGAACTCCAAATCGTTCAATGATGGTTGTGTTGAAGAAAATTTTCTTGTAGTTGGGAATTTCACCAAAAATCATCTGCAGACAACCAATCGTATTTTGGTGGCTGGGATGCTGGTCTTCCAGAAGGTGGTAAGTCCCTTCGCGTTTGCGAACAGTGATAGAAATGATAGTATACAATCGTGCGCAAAGTCCAAGAAATGGAAGATGTGTTGCAGCGGTTATGATTCGTGGAACAACCATACTGATGCTTGGCCAAATCAGTTCTTGGGTCATTCAAGGCTACGAATAGTACGCTTGGCATGAACTCCCTAAATGATAGAAAGATATGAAAGATTGTGTAGCTATCCAGTATTGCCCTTCAATTGCCATGGATGAAACAAAATGCCATAAACAACACATTCTCGCATCAAAATCTGTCGCTTTACTACCTCCGAAATGTTTACCAAACCAAACAAGGAATGGCTCAAACCTTGGTACCCTGGTAAATGCCCAGTTGTTTGACATGGTGCAGGGCCATTGATAATTGAAGTCATCGCTATGGGTCAGTTCACCCTGGGCGTCACCTACGACATACGCAGCCAAAGGACATACGCAGCTTCCCGTCGTTTCACCGGAACCTTTAGCCGTGATGCAGAGCAGCCCAAAAAGGCGTGACCAAAAGGTTTTTATGCCCCCGGGGGTGAAAGGCATATGCTGACCTTCACACAAATGGTACAGTATTTGAGAATATTTGTGTATGCGCGTGTATATATATATATTTATCTATTATTATTTATTTATGTACTTATTTATGCGAACATGTATATATAATATACATTTGTAATCATACAGATATCGTATGTATGTAATTGTGTACATATATATATATATTATACTTTACATTACATGTCACATACGACGACAACCCCAGAAGCGGATTCAATGATCAAGGAAACTATTGGCACGGGAAACTGACTTGGAGGAGTCCTTTCCTTCATAACAACCCAGGCATGGGTTGGTTCCAGAAATGTGATTTTCTCCCTTTCAAGAGCAGTTTTAAAGGGGTGAATATTGCGTATATCAACCACTGGATTTTTTTAGGTATCCCATGGTCACATGGTCCCATTTTTGGACCCACATAGCTCCTTTTCAGGGTGATGCCAAGTTTCTGGCTGTTTCACTTAGCCGAAGACTGCCAGATCTCCATTTTGTGCCCAGACTTTGTGGACAAACTGCGTCCCCAGCTTCGCAGGTCGCGCAGGGTTTGACACGCTGCAACGCAGGGACGTGCCAAGTCAGCATAAAATTGCTGAAAATCCATGAAATCCAGATACCATGTCGATTAATTTATATGTAAGATTTTCTTTGCATGACTTTTGACCTCATTCCTTCATCCCAAATGGCCATATACAACTGTTGAAAGGATCGTTCGATCCCAAATCCCACAACTGGTTCCGCGAAAATCACAGTGAAACCTCCAGGATGTTGCCGGTAATTCCCACCGGCTACTCAGGTGGTTCGACCTCAAAATTCACTGCTGTGAACATCAGATCTTCATCCCAACAAGTATAAAAAGTGTCATTCCTGTCATCCATGGATTTTAGAGAAAATCTATACAGTACAGGAAGCCATGATCCAGTTCCCGAAATTGGGAGTGGCTCCATGTCAGCCACAACGAGGAGCCAACCGCCGCGCAGAGCTTGACGGATCTCACGTGATTTGCCACCTGGACCCAAAAAGCTTCGATGGTTTTCTCAGTGAAATGTCCATTGGAGGATTCAGCCATGGATTACCGGAGGATTACCCTCTGGTAAACTAACATAACTATTGAAAATGACCATTTATAGTGGATTTTCCCATTAAAAATGGTGATTTTCCATAGCTATGTTAGTTTACCGGAGGATTATCAGATTGAAACACGTCTTCCCAGCCACCTGCACGATGGGGTACAAATACTGATCCGCGAGGACACCAGCATCTGCCACCATCAATTCCCGAACGCCATTCACCGTGAGCACCAGAGCCCCGCTTGGCATGGCCTCACACCGAGTTCATCACAAAGAGGACATGGACTCAACAAAATGATGCAGAAATGTAGAACTGAATAGGCTCCACACCAACAGCCCCAACGTATCTCCCTCCTGAAGAGCACAGGACCAGTCCTTATCAAATAGCAAGACTTGACAACACGAGTCTAAACTGCGCCTGCACAATGATTGGAGGCGAATTGTAGCTTTTCATGATACTAGTATCCTCGAGCTCGAGGTTACACAGCCCGGTAGCAAATTTGGGGATTTGCTACAGGGGGATTCCCAAGTCACCGTGGGTTTCAATACTGAAATGAAGGAATTTTGGATTTGGGGTACCTCAATGACAAAACGGAAACCTCCATTTCCACAAGCTGAGGACCTGTCGAATTGCCGTTCCACATGACCTGGTCCTTTGCACAATGGAGGCCACACACACCTGAGCAGCGACCGCTGAAAAGGGGTCATCTGCCCATGGTAATGTCAACCCAACGATAACATTGACCCAGCTGGATCATATGATCACTACCCTTTTAAGAGGGGCGACGTACCCTAAATGTAAGCTACATTTTAGACGTATTTTCTAGGAGGGGGACGTAAAAAATGTTAGCATACATTGATTTTTCAACGTACGTTCTAATTGCAATCTGCGTTTTGCTAAGGTCCTCTGTGTTTTTTTCAAAAACCTAGGGACTTCGAAAATGTAAGCTTTCATTTAAAAAAAAAATGTAAGAAGGTGTTCAAAAAAATGCAAAATGATAGTCCAAAGGTCTGCAAATAGCTGCGTGTTGATAAACTGGTGGTGATTGAATATCTATCCATCTTGATCATGTTGTACCATCAAATGATGCGGTTCAATACCATGTAAATACACGGTGTACGATTCGACGATTCTCTCATTCATATAAAGCCCACAACTTAAACGAGTTGATCAATAGTTGGATCTGTCATTAACTGTGGTATTAACCTAATTTCTTAGCCAGTCCCAAATGACTCAAACCATTCTTGATTATGGTAGCTTTATGGCATCGGAATTTCGAGTTTCTCAATAATACTGTGGTAAACCAAAGTTTTAACCGGGGTTTTTATTGGGTCTAACACATCATATGTTAACACAAGTTCTAGAATGTGGTTCCCAAACAAAATAGACTGTTAATATGTTGCCATATTTCTCAATATTCCCACGTTACATTTTACCCTCTGGCAGTTAAACATAGCTACGGAAAATCCCAATTAAAATCATCGAATTAAATCGGCTTCCATAGCAAATTATAACAAATTGCCCGAGGGTAACTACAAAAATCCACTCATAACCCAAGTCAATGAAAGTTCATAACCAATCCATCAAAAAAACATTAACTGTTGCATTTTTTAAATAGTACATTAAATCTGAAAAATCCATGAATAACCCACCGAAACCCTGTTTTCAAACCCAGAAAAAAAATCCAGCCTCAGCTGTGCACCATGCGAGGCCGCTTGCCGCGCGCGGTGCCAGGTGGGACGTAGCTCGGGTGTGGCGCGCATCTGACGCAGAAATTCCACCAGTGCCAGTGGAAATGCCAGGGAAAACCGCGGAAAAAAATGAAACTGATGTCTTGGAATTTTGGGGGTTCACTGATCCTCAATTTCCAGAATTGCTTGTTGATGGATGTCTCTAACCCCTCCCCAGTTGGAAGTTCAAGCTGTAGGCAACATCCCTCAATCCAAACACACCTGGCTGGTGGGCCGATGCAACTGTGGATTGGGCCGCCCCCTCTGAGAGAAGAACCACCTGGCAGCTGTGATATGCTGTGATATCAAATAAGGAAAAAGAACATGTTCTTGGATCAACTTGGATCAACTTGGAGACTCAACAAAGTGAACGCAACTGAAGCACAGGGCACCCATTGGAAGAGATACACCAGGAGTTCGCCACAGTGGAGATATCCTTCGCCAGCCTTTGGTGATTCAACAAATTGGAATCTTGGCCAAGCATGTGCACCATTTCTGCAAAAATGCTCGCATTGTCGTGTATTCGATTGGCACTTGTGGTAGGGAAATGTTCTAACAGCGCGAATAACATGAACCAACGTCCATCTTGCTCCGGTGTCACTCTGGTAAACACATCATCAGCATACCAATAGTGACGTTTCAACCCACCTTCCAGTCTCGACCTTTACAATCACATAGTGACAACAAGTGAGAATTTATGGGATCTATTCGGATTTGTATATTGGGATCTGTAGGGATTTCATGGGATTTCATAACATTTATCTGACTTTTCCATTTTTCCGTGATCATTCAGTCACCAAACCTGTCCAGCTGATCCTGGGCTGCGGACTCGTCCTCTCCACTTGGCCGAGCGCCTTTGAAGCCCAGCACCACGCCTTTCCGGGCGTCATCGGAATCATGGTAGATTTCTATGGAGATCTAACGGATTTGATAAGTGTTCAAAATGGGATTATCACGGGATTTCATGGGTTTATGATGGGATCTTCGACAATCATTGGTTTTTGTTATTCAATCACCATGGCTTGAGAATGGTGATTTGAAAATCGGCAATCATGAGGAGAAAATAGAGAGAATTAATGGGATTCGAGCCCAATAATACTGGGGGATAGAACCAACCATTAATAACAGGTTGCATGATTTGTATTGAAATGTATTTGAAATCTGTTGAAGTACGTAGGAGATTTGACTCTTCGCACATTCCAAATTGGAGTTGGGCTGTGGAAACGTTCAAGTCACATCCATATGGACAAGTGGTCAGGGTTTTCAACAAGGCACTTAAAACAGAGCGCAAAGCAAGTACACATGGAAGTTCAGGGAAAAAATAATGGTTTGATTTCAAGTACATATTCGATGTGTACAACTACCAGTTTGAGCTGCAAAGCAATGTATATACTGAATCTGCAAACCGAAACCATGTTTGATTCATTCTCACACAATGTTTCAGACACTCAAACATTGTGTACACAATGTTTCGACACTCAAACACAAATACTGGCCATGTCCTAAGAGTGTTGATCATGGAAGAAGGATTTTTCATGGTTTAAGGTTAACACTGCTAACACTCTCGCCAAAAAATCAGCATTACCACCACACTTCATCTCCCACCTGCTGTTCGACCATAGGTCTCGCAGATTTTGGGCCTGTGGAGATTGAACTGAGATCCAGTCTCACCACCTACATGCTACAGCTGCTACATGTTGTAGCACTGGCCCCGGGCATACCAATGTCCAATGGATTGTTGGTGTCAACCAGTTGGGTCCAGTATCCCAGTATCCCAGCCTGTCAGCTGCGCTCACCGACTGGAAAAGGCTCATCACCTTCACTTCGAAATAATGGCCGCTAGACAACACCTCGAGTGGACTTTGGGATGTGCTGATCATCTAACGGGGCCTGGTTGGTGGTTCAGACACTGAATGCCAGATCACATTTAAAATTGAGGTTTAAGGTCATTGATATTCATGCATATTTATACATATAATATATACATATATATATGTATATACACTATTAATCAAAATAGTCAGAATCAGCCAGATGGATCCACATGGGCCCTTGAAGTTCTCTCCGCAAAAATGCACAGCGTCGCATCTGAGTTGGCCACTGGTGCTGGCTCAACAGAGCCCACCATGGCAGGAGGCTGGCAGGGCCATTGGTTACTTGTCATATTGCCTAATGGTTCCATTATCCAGTGAAAAGTACCTACATCATGATTATTTGCGAGTATCACTTATTTCCTCCATTGCTTTCATATTGCTTTCATGCCATGTTTCATAACAAAACATCACAAATGTGTCACCAGGGGGTGGTTAAACCACCAAACCACCAGTCGTCTTGATGTGTCACCATCGTTCAACGTGGCAGGACGACCATGGTCTTCCTGGGAAGCCTCTCCTCTCGACGCACGCACTTGCCACCATCCAGGATGGAGAACTTGAACCTCCCCAAGTGATTTCGTTTGTTTCCCATTTGAGCTGGTCAAGAAACATTAAAATGTAAAAAACATGGAAACAGGATTCATGTTCAAATGTCATTCAATTTCATTGAATCATCTATACACTATTAGTAGCATATTATACACTATTAGTAGCATATTATACACTGTTAGCAGACACGCTTCATCCAAACAAAAAATGTCGCATACATTGGCCGAGCGGCGTCGAGCCCGAATCCATGCCATCCAGGCGGATCAAGTGGCTGGCCGTGGTCTGCAAAAGGAACAGGAGAGCTGTTTGGCACTCAACGGAGAGCAATGGGTACGATCCTATATATACATGTATATATATATATATACATACATACATACATACATATGTATACATATATATATATATATACGTACATATGTAGTGTATATATATAGATACATACATACATACATTACATTACATTACATTACATTACATCACATCACATCACATACCATTACATACATACCATTACATACATACCATTACATACATACCATTACATACATACCATTACATACATACCATTACATACATACCACTACATACATACCACTACATACATACCATTGCATACATACCATCACATACATACCATTACATACATACCATTACATACATACCACTACATACATGCATACATACATACCATTACATACATACCATTACATTAATACCATTACATTACATTACATACATACATAACATAACATACATAACATACATTACATACATTACATACATTACAAAACATACATAACATAACATAACATAACACTACACTACACTACATGCATACATTACATTACATTACATTACATTACATTACATCACATCACATTACATTACATTGCCATACATTACATACATACATACATACATACATACCATTACATACATACCATTACATACATACCATTACATACATACCATTACATACATACCATTACATACATACCATTACATACATACCATTTCATAAATACCATTACATACATACCATTACATACATACCACTACATACATACCATTACATACATACCATTACATACATACCATTAAATACATACATACATACGTACGTACGTACGTACATACATACATACATACGTACGTACATACATACGTACATACATACATACATACCATTACATACATACATACATACATAGATACATACATACATACATACATACATACTTACCTTACCTTACCTTACCTTACCTTACATTACATTACATTACATACATACATGACATACATGACATACATTACATACATTACATACATACATACATACATTACATTACATTACATTACATTACGTTACGTTACATTACATTACATTACATACATACATACATGCATTACAGTAGGATAGCAAAGCATAGCAGAGCATAGCATAGCATACCATACCATACCATACATACCATACATACCATACCATACCATACCCTACCCTACCCTACATTACATTACATTACATTACATTACATTACGTTACATTACATTACATTACATACATTACATACATACATATATAAATAAGTTGATGATCAATATCGAAATTCATGTATAAGCTCATGATTTCCATGACTATGCGTCAAAATTAAAGACCAAGGGGACCAACCACCTTTTGTCATTTTTGGTGATAAACCAACCCGTTGGGGGATAGCAGTTTTCACCCATGGCCCATACCCATATGGGCTCCTGCATACAAAGTATTGTTCATTTGGGATTCTCATGATCCAATGTGGACCAGAATGCGGGTATTTATCATACCATGGGATTTCATGTGCTCCATGTTCTGACAAACCCATGTAGCCTTCTCAAACAACAAAACTCATGCCGTACTCTGCCGCTGCCTCTGGTGGTCCGTGGTACATCAAAGCAGTGAAAAAGCGGGAGAATCGCATCTCGGGAGTCGCAATGTCCAAACCATCAGCTTTGTCCACCTTAGCATGACTGTCTTCCCACCAAGCAGTGAAACTGCAGGCGTAAACAGCTCTTTGGGGCAAGACCCCTCAAGTTGAAAACTGCACTGGTTGATCAATCAGTTTCTCACTTAATCATATTTTTCCACCATTAGATTCTATCAAAGTGCCACAAATTAGAGAGCTTCATGGGGGGAATTGCCATGACTTGCCCATTTTTTCCCTGATGAATCCTCCATCTTCTCACGGAAATCCTACTCAGCTCTAGGCTTGGGAGAAGACCACCTTGCAGGTGGACTGTTGCCTGGCCATCCATGGTAGGTTTGTGGCAGGTGAATCCTACATCAGATGATGATGGATGATGATGAATGATGATTAGAATGGAGTGGATATTTTTTTGATAGATGACTGAGATGAGGGGAAAATCATAATACTATCATGATGATTTCTGTTGACAGATTGTCAGTATTAGTTCTGATGGCCTCCAAAAAATTGTCATTGTCAACATGCTAGGCCCAAATCGTAGCCCCACAAAAATAAACTCATCATCTGATGACAACAAAATACCAAACAATTATTATGGCATTCAGATGGAATTCAGATGGAATAACCCATTTTTGACCTGCAAATGACCTCGAAATTCCCATGGTTTCACGGATGGCACCTCTGCTGCCTGGCGGCTTCAGTGCTGAGGTGATCCTCCTGCAAGGCCTCCAGGTGGAGTCCTGGCACAGCCTTCACCTGGGCCATGGGAAAACTATCTATGGAAACCATGGCTTAATATAGTTACTAATGGCAAATACAGTATATGGCAAATATATGGTTAATATATGGTTAATATATGGTTGATATAATGGCTTAATATATGGTTATTCATATCATGGTTAATATGGTTACTGGCTTAATATATAATGGCAATATAATTGCTTGATAAAAAACAATGGTTGATATGGTTGACCCATATTGACAATATTAACCAGTAATAATATAAACCCATATAAATCATATAGCCAATCATATGGGAACATAGTAACAATCATATGAGAATGACCAACATAAATAGTAACCATATGTAGAACATTACTAACATATATCATATGCCCATGGCCCATAGTAACTATATCAATATCACCATAGCAACAGTTGGGATCATTAACATATACTTGGGAAAATGTCCATAGTTGTTCCAATGAGATATGACTTATATATATTGTCTTTTGCGGTTTTATTGTAATGAACCCCTTGCCACCATGGTTGATATTGGGGGTGTTTCGTAGGAAGGGATTATTGTGACTAACCCACGATCTTCACGGTTATCATGATTCGTCACGGATTCCACCTCAATCTCAATCCACCCAATCGCCTTCAGAAGATTCGTGTGAATTCGATGCTGTGCCTTGCTTTGTCGTACCTGCGAACTGGCAGCCTCTGGAAATCCGACAATGAATGGGTTGGTTGAAAGGATTCGTCTTGCCGGAAACCATGGTTTCTAAGCCTAAAATACCCTAGAAACAAAAGTGTGGTGAACTCCTTGAGGAAGTGGAATGCAGGGCACCGGACCAGGTCCTCGTGATTGGGCTTCAAGCGTCCGGGTCATATGCCAACACGAATCCTCCAAAGTTGGGCTCCAGAAAAGGTCAACACATGTGAACACTATGACTATTCTGGGAAAGCATCGGGTTAAAAGGCCAACGGCAGCAGGGTCCCATGTGATCTCATGAAAATCATGAAATCCCTGCACCTGCAAGGCCTGATGCCCTTGCAGTTGCACTGCAGAAAGTCCATCACGATCTTCCTGGGACACTGACTGCAATGCATCGGGGATACGACAACGAAATAACACCCGTTTCAGCCAACCATCTTTGCCAAGTTTTAAGGATAGTGAACATCAGAATTGGAGTTGGTTGAGCATGTTGAACAGCTGCCATGTCAATTGGATCTACCAAAAGTCTCAATTTTCCTTCGGTCAAGTAAGCTCAACTGAGTCCCTTGCTGGATGAACCTCGGAAACTTGCCGCTCAACCTGGCCGTTTCCAAGAGATTTCACCTACTGGAACGTACATCGAACCCCGCAAACAGTGGCTTTGAACCACAGGTTTCCCATCAAACAAACTGCCATGTCCCCCAAAAAAAACATTGTTTTTCCATGTGTTTCCCTACATTTTTGTCCCAAACTGCCACGTTTTCTTTGCGCCTGCCAGGCGGGTCGATGGGTTTCAATGGCCGAGCTGGCCATCTGAGCCAAGTTGGCTGCCTGCGTCAAGGCCTGGCTCCATGGCATTCCCGCAATGGAGAGGAAAATCCACAGGAAACTGCAAAATCATAGGTCCCCCTCACAGTCACCTGGAGGTGGTTTATGTGGGTTTCTCTGAAAAGGTTTGCGAAAAAAAATAGACAATAATGATCATCATCATGACAAAATTCATAGCTGAAAATCTCAATTTTCCCATATGTTCCCCATGATTTTTGCCCATTCTCCCATATTTTCCCCATGATTTTTGCCCTAAATTCAGGACCAACATCCCCCAACCGAAAATCGGTCGACCTCCTGGGGCCATGCCATGCGCGGAAAGCGGCGCTTCTCTGGAGACAGCACCATGCGTCGCCAGGTGGCGCCATCCTGTCAGAGTTTGCTCGGTGAATCCGGCGATCTTTGGAACATTTATGATCATAAATGATATTGATATACAATCTAGTGTCTATGATTCTATGATGGTCATAATTTACACATAAGTGATGATGGTGGTGATGATGATGATGATGGTGATGATGATGATGATGATGACGATGACGACGACAATTCAAAAATATATAGCGCGCGATAATACTAATATATACTGATTATGAACATCCATGAATCTGGCAACTAGCCAGGCTAACAATCGGTCCTCACCGCTTGGATCCTGGAACCGCGATAGGTTCACCATCCCCATGCTGGCCTTCATGTGACAGCGTCCAAGCGCGCTGCTGGCAACACATACCACATCTGGCACCTGGCTATTCGCACAAGCCATATATATATGTATTATATATATATATGTATGTATTTATCATATTATATATATATTATAGATATATATATATATTATAGATATATATATATATTATAGATATATCATAGATCTATTTATATATATATATATATGTATATGGCTATTGATATGTTAGTGAATCCGTTCACTTTGCCTAATCTCATCCCTCTAATGGGTGACCCCAGTGCATAGTAGATCCGATAATCAACCATGGTTTCTAAGGAGCTATATATGGCTATTTCATAGCGGAAGGGATTACCCCTCACAAACACCATTGTTTGTCTAACAGGGTACCCTTTCTGTTTTTCCATTGGTTCATCACCATTTTGCCTAATGAAAAGAGCCATTTTTGGGGCACGGCAATGCAGTCCCGGCACCATAGAAGAGAACAAAGTGCTGTGCAAGTCTTCTCCAGCCGGAACCTCCGTGGCAGCAATCACCGGCAATCACTAATTCATTCCCCAAGTCTGCCATTATATTCAGAAATTCATCATGGTTTGCTATCTACAAAAGTGGCGAAATATAGTGATGAATATCACTATCCCTTGAACAAAATATGCTGAAGTCACTCTTCATTGGCCAACTCCACAAACATACGCGGATGGTTTCCTTCCTACTCCACGATTGGCCCAACCATAAGACCAGATGGATCGCGCTCCTCGACTTCCGAAATGCCAGAGACCAGGGAGGTCAAATACTCAGTACGATGCAGAAGATCCTGGTGGCGATCTGAAGCTCATCGAACAGCTTGTAAATCTTGCGAGTTTGCCCAAAAAAAAATAAGGCCAAAAACACTGAATTTTCAATAGGAAATTTTACGAAATATTTTGAAGATTGGTAAATGTTCTTTCAAGTGGGGGGATGTTCCAGTGCTGTGTTTGATTGCCACAAGGGACGTATTGCTTAACATGAGCTGCTATAATATCCACTAGATCGCACCAAAACCTACATAGTTGTGTTGTTGACAAAGGAACGTATCGTGATACACTCTCGCTCTTCCAACACACATCAAAGGCTACATCAAAATCCGTCCTGTTGCTGGCGGTCTTTGTATGCCTTGCTGGTGGGATTCGAACCACTGGGCTTCCCCGCGCACTTTCGAATGACTGTGTATTTGGCTAGTGCCGGTGCAACAAACCCTCCCAACACTTCGATTCAACATCCCTCGCACAGATGATTGCGCATATTATATATATATATACATACCATTTTATATATATATAATAAATATATACATATACCATATTATATACACCCATGCACAAATCATTGAGGACACTACCTGCCACGCCAGCACCTCAGTCCAGAGTTTTGGCACTGTGTGCGTGTGACCAACAGTATCCTGATGGTGCAAAACAAGAGCATGAAAGCGAAATCAGAACAGCCAATCCTTCAGCACGTCATTCTATGCTGGAAAGAATAAGATATATATATATACTGTACATGTAGAATATATTTGAATTTATATATATATATATGTGATAAATACCACGGCAACAAAGACAACCACTAACAAGAAACTCAGCCATGACCCGACTGCAAAGCTGAGATCCCCCAACTCCTTCCCCAGGTTTGATGGTATGCGCCATTCGCGGCGTTCTGGTACGGCCATGGCTGGTGTCCATGCTCGGCTGGACACCCGGGCTCATTTCGCCACCAGATTCTGAGTTGGATCAGCAGAATCACTTGATTCAAAAATGATCCAAAAACTATTCAAATCCTGTGTGTCTCATAATGTCTCATAGATTCTCTTCGGATAAATAGACATGGTTTTCTCAGTTGCAGGCTTTGATATTGCATTTTTTGATGCGCTACGTTGCTACATGTTGCGTTGAGTGCCGTTGAATGCACAAAATTCCAGTTCCAAGAACTTTTTCAGCTGATGAACCATTCCCACGAGAGCACTGTAGACACATTCTGTTCACGACCGTCAAATGGGGAGACCACGCGCACACAGTGGCACTGGTGCCGTTTGCCCCAAGCAACAACTCGGGTTCCCCGGCCAACCAGCTGGTCTCCTCGCATTCAAATGCCAGGATGTCATACGTCTACATAAAACGCCTGGATCTATTTGAAGCAATCCATATATATAAACTTGGTACCCAGCCCATTGCTGGGACTCCCAGTTTTCATGATCATGGTGCGGCAATGGAGCCACGGTCTATCGTTTGCAAGACTCTCGATTCCATCATATTCGATTCCATGGTCATTTCTGGAAAGGCAGGTTTGTGCTGCTTTCAGTTCAAGAGAAGCCTGACATGCCAACACCGGGGTTGAATCCTAAATTTTTTGTCCAAGGATGCATCATCCAAAGTGGCTTTCAATCCGAAGGTTGCCCCAGTAGTCCTGATCGAAGGAAGTTTAGAAGTCAAACTTCCGACAATATGGACAGATGAAAAGCAGAGATAGATGGGAAGAGTCAGAGAAGAGAAGAGAAGAAGAAAGAAGAAGAAGATCAAAAAGAGAAAGTCTCCGAAGAAAGAAGATCCAGGTGCGCGAAAAGGTAGGAAAATGGCGAAACATTGTGTTTTTCCAATGATTTGTGGCTCCAGAGGGTCGAAAAGTAGGCTCGCTAAAGCGGCCTGTGCGGAGCCAGCTGGCCAGATGAGAGATGAAAAATTGCACGCCGTTGTGGCGCGAAGCACCTTTCCAAGTCAAAAGGTACAAAACACCACATGCTCGCGCCACTTTTGGACGTTGAAGCGCCGTTTTGCCTGGCAGGCACACGGGATTGTGCACCTTGTCAAAAGTGAGCAAAACGTGAGGGTTTTGTAGCATTTCCAAAAACGATGGCAGGCGTGGGAAATTTGAAGAGGATCTGCAAAGATACATTTTCCGTGGCAGGCGCAGTACAAGAGACATGTTCATCAGATGTTAGGAGGTGAGGGCGCTGATTTCCTGAGATGGGTTGCATTTTGGAGCATCAGATCTTCAGTTTTGGGAAGATTATTTTGCGTGACAGGTGCAGCACTTCGTATGACCTGGCATCACTATTTTTGAAAGATGTCTCGCAGACTTGCTTCGTTTTTGATGTTGTCAACTTCGAAAAATGCGGAAGTCTCGCAGAATTGTTTCGTTTTTAATTCAGGAAGTCTCGAAAAATTGCGGCGTTTTTGATGCGGTCAACTTCAAAAATGAGGAAGTCTCACAGAAGTGCTGCGTTTTTGCTGCTGTCAAGTTCAAAAATTGAGGAAGTCTCGCAGAATTGTCTCGTTTTTGATGTTGTCAAGGTCAAAAATGGAGGAAGTCTCGCAGAATAACTTTGGTCTTAAAGCTTGCAGATTGCAGCCAGGCAGCTAGGCAGATAGATAGATAGATAGATAGATAGACAGACAGACAGACAGCTAGACGACAACAACAACAACAACACTACAACAACTACAACAACTACAACAACTACAACAACTACAACAACTACAACAACTACAACAACTACGACTACAACTACGACTACAACTACGACTACAACTACGACTACGACTACTACGACTACTACGACTACTACGACTACTACGACTACTACGACTACTACGACTACTACGACTACTACGACGACGACGACGACTCACTACTACTACTATCACTACTATCACTACTATCACTACTATCACTACTATCACTACTATCACTACTATCACTACTATCACTACTATCACTACTATCACTACTATCACTACTATCACTACTATCACTACTATCACTACTACTACCACTACTACTACTACTACTACTACTACTACTACTTCTACTACTTCTACTACTACTTCTACCACTACTACTACTACTACTACTACTACTACTACTACTACTACTACTACTACTACTACTACTACTACTACTACTACTACTACAAATGCAGATTAACTATGCGACATTGCACTACACTCATTACATCTAATTACACTACACTACACTGATTACACTACAACTACAACAACTACTACCACCACAGCTACAACTACAATTACAATTACACCACATTACACTACACTGCAGCGCGCTACAACTACAAATACAAATGCGACTACAACTACATCACACAACACTACACTACACTACACTACACTACACTACACTCATTACATTACACTACAACTATTACAACTACAACTGCAACTACAATTGCAACTACCACTAAATTGCACTACACGACACTACACTACTTGCACTACACTGCTTGCACTACACTACACTAGGCTACACTACACTATACCAAACTACAGTACACAACACTACAGCACACTACAATACACTACACCACAACTACAACTGCAACTGCACTACACTAATCACACAACATTACAACTACAACTCCACTACACTACACTACAACTACGACTACAACTACAACTGCACTACACGACACTACATCCACCAGTTGGGGAGAGGTGACCACTGCAAACATTGCAACCACTCCAAAAAACACAACTCCAACCACCTTTCGGTCCATCAGTGGATTCGCTCTGCCATCCGTGATTCACAACAACCAACCTCTCCTATAGGTTTCCAATTTTTGAAACTTCCGCCACCTCCTTGTGCGGTACTAGTAATCTGAAATCATTTAGATTGATAAGGTAAACCCAATTTCATAAACCATCCCCAAAACCACCATATTTTTGGGTGGTACCATCCCCAGTTGATTTATGGCCGGCCGCGCCAGTCCTCCGGCGCTTCAGAGGTCGGCCTCTTCGGCATCGACCGCCGAGGACCCTACGATTTTTCCAGACATTTGAAGTGGACAGAGATCGTGGGGGAAAAGAATGGAAAAGATGGCAACCCATCACCAATTCTTGGGAAAACCCATGGGAAAATCCATACCAAGATCGTTCTTTCCAAAGTTCTTTTGCTTCAGTATGTGACATCAAGTCCACACAAGCAAACTGGACAACAAGCGAGACAAGCACAATGCTGGCCTCCTCATTTGCAATCCTTCGATCCTTCTGACAGCTCAATCGTTTCTTTCCAACAAAAAAACTAGTCTAGGCATGGGTCTGTCTCAAAACAGGGTATCCCTAAATTTGATGGTCTATCGTATTTCCCCTACTAAATCTTAACTTGCCATTTTGGGGTATCCCTATTTTGAGGACAAACCCAAATGTTCAAGATGCTGTAGAAAGTTCACTCCTGCAAGCGCGCATCCCTGGCATAGCGTCCAGAAGTGTTGGCCACATATGTTCCTGCAAGTGAAGGCTGTGCAAATGAACTCTGAAATCGAAGACCCAGGAATCTCAGCAAAACATTGCACCATCTCGACTGCAAAAGGAGTTCCACTCTCTATGCCAAAATTAAATGAGCGCCATTCAATATCAAATGTTCTTTGTAATTCCTACCAGATCAACCAGCCATTTGTTGCCTAAGGCCAGTGGCCAGCTGAGCGCCTTGACGCACAGGTGTGGCCACTGTTGACACGGTGACCTTAGCAGGGTGAAAGGAGCTCAGTGAACGAAAGCCGCCAGCGTCACCAAGCGTCACGCGAAGTGCTCCGAGACAGGATATAACCTGAGTGATGTGCAGTGAGACATGTTCACATCACACATCACGCCGAAACATCATAAAAATTCACAAAACATCAATGGGTCAAGGGCTATCATAATTTTGGGGACCTTTCGGGGGGATGATTTTGATCATCTGAGACTCCAGCAAAGTCTCGCTGTCCACAGCACCAAGCTGGGATGGAGATGATTGAGTGGCAGCAATGTACTCCAGGGTGTTAACTCCTGACCCAAAACCCTGCACCGGATCTGCGGAGTTCAAAATTGCACCCCGGAGAAGTCCTTCAGGTTGGCCCACTTCCTCGTAGACCAAGGTCTCTTGTGCAGCACCTGACAACTTGAGAAAGCTTCCACACTTGAGGTGATCCTTTTATTGCTTGAGTTACAACGTATCAATCTACTGTTGCAGCCACATCTTTGGGTCTGTGTGAGTGAGGAATGGATTGAAGTCCGTTTCAATCTGCCTACTTTCAACATGGGTTTTGTCTTGGAGGCAGTGGTTGCACAAGCTTGGCAAATGTTGCTGGTGTTGCTGGTGTTGCTGGTGTTTGCCTGGTATGACGCAAGCAGCTTCAGGGTCAACTCCAGCATTGTCGACCTGTCTCTTGGCATGATATTTCGAAAGCGGCACTGACGAGTGGATAAATGCTGATACAAGTCAAACCCCTTTTCGGCTGTGCAGACTGCCAGCCATAAGCACTCCGCACTATTGCAAGATTCTCCGGACTTGACTGCAACAGAATTTACGATTAATTGCATGCACCCTGCTGACAAAATGACTGCATGTTCAAGTTGTTGTCTGCCCAACACCTCGTAGACCAAGGTCTCTTGTGCAGCACCTGACAACTTGAGAAAGCTTCCACACTTGAGGTGATCCTTTTATTGCTTGAGTTACAACGTATCAATCTACTGTTGCAGCCACATCTTTGGGTCTGTGTGAGTGAGGAATGGATTGAAGTCCGTTTCAATCTGCCTACTTTCAACATGGGTTTTGTCTTGGAGGCAGTGGTTGCACAAGCTTGGCAAATGTTGCTGGTGTTGCTGGTGTTTGCCTGGTATGACGCAAGCAGCTTCAGGGTCAACTCCAGCATTGTCGACCTGTCTCTTGGCATGATATTTCGAAAGCGGCACTGACGAGTGGATAAATGCTGATACAAGTCAAACCCCTTTTCGGCTGTGCAGACTGCCAGCCATAAGCACTCCGCACTATTGCAAGATTCTCCGGACTTGACTGCAACAGAATTTACGATTAATTGCATGCACCCTGCTGACAAAATGACTGCATGTTCAAGTTGTTGTCTGCCCAACACCTCGTAGACCAAGGTCTCTTGTGCAGCACCTGACAACTTGAGAAAGCTTCCACACTTGAGGTGATCCTTTTATTGCTTGAGTTACAACGGATCAATCTACTGTTGCAGCCACATCTTTGGGTCTGTGTGAGTGAGGAATGGATTGAAGTCCATTTGACTCTGCCTACTTTCAACATGGGTTTGTCTTGGAGGCAGTGGTTGCACAAGCTTGGCAAATGTTGCTGGTGTTGCTGGTGTTTGCCTGGTATGACACAAGCAGCTTCAGGGTCAACTCCAGCATTGTCGACCTGTCTCTTGGCATGATATTTCGAAAGCGGCACTGACGAGTGGATAAATGCTGATACAAGTCAAACCCCTTTTCGGCTGTGCAGACTGCCAGTCATAAGCACTCCGCACTATTGCAAGATTCTCCGGACTTGACTGCAACAGAATTTACGATTAATTGCATGCACCCTGCTGACAAAATGACTGCATGTTCAAGTTGTTGTCTGCCCAACACCTCATAGACCAAGGTCTCTTGTGCAGCACCTGACAACTTGAGATAGCTTCCACACTTGAGGTGATCCTTTTATTGCTTGAGTTACAACGTATCAATCTACTGTTGCAGCCACATCTTTGGGTCTGTGTGAGTGAGGAATGGATTGAAGTCCGTTTCAATCTGCCTACTTTCAACATGGGTTTTGTCTTGGAGGCAGTGGTTGCACAAGCTTGGCAAATGTTGCTGGTGTTGCTGGTGTTGCTGGTGTTTGCCTGGTATGACGCAAGCAGCTTCAGGGTCAACTCCAGCATTGTCGACCTGTCTCTTGGCATGATATTTCGAAAGCGGCACTGACGAGTGGATAAATGCTGATACAAGTCAAACCCCTTTTCGGCTGTGCAGACTGCCAGCCATAAGCACTCCGCACTATTGCAAGATTCTCCGGACTTGACTGCGACAGAATTTACGATTAATTGCATGCACCCTGCTGGCAAAATGACTGCGTGTTCAAGTTGTTGTCTGCCCAACACCTCGTAGACCAAGGTCTCTTGTGCAGCACCTGACAACTTGAGAAAGCTTCTTCAGTTTTTACAACATTAGAAAACAAAAAAAAATGGTTTGGAGAGTTCTTGGGAATTCGCAGAGCTGTCATCTGCTTACTGCCTGATATACTCTTTGCGTCGGCCAGGGATCGGTCGATTTCAGCAATGTGGTCTGCAGCACTTGCAGGAAGCCCTTGTGGTGTGCTGACCTTAACTCTGGGAAGAAAAGCCAAAGGGACAAATAGCATTGACAATGGTCGTTTGTTGATACCTTGACATCTGCCGAAGTCTCCAACACTCAGCTCAACTTTCCCCTGGGACCCCTGACATATAATTGTGTCTCATCAAATAGCCGCACCTGGTGACTTTCGATGGCCGCAGGCTGCGTTTCCTGCATGGCTGCAGGGGAGTATCTCCATGATGGGTTGGTTCTGGCCACCTGTTGCCTCAAGACAAAGCATGCAGTTCCGGAGGTCAAAACATTTTTAATCTAAATCCAAATATCCGCACACACGTCAATCTATCATTATCACGATCTCTGTGTATATATATATATATTACACACACAGGCACATACAATAATATACTTTAAGTATGTAGACATATAATATGATTGACGGACATCCTCCACCAAAGTTAAATCTGCAGTCCTGCGCAGGGCACGTTGCGGGCATGGCCGGCCAGCTCTCACTGGGTGCATCGGCAGCAACATCTACGGGGGAGTGCCAATCCTCGGCCAAGTCAGTTGCCGATGCTAGTAACAAATGAATAAGTTCAACCATCAAAAATAGGAATATGGGAATATATGATATAAAGATATATAAAGTGGGTTAACTATGGTTTAATAGGGATATAGTATGGATAACACCTGGAAAAAATGAGGATCTTGACCACCACAAGATTCCTGGATTCAACCTTCAACCACCAAAACCAGGGATCGCAACCAACACACACGTTGCTTTTTTCAACAAGCACTGGGAAACAGATCTATCAACAATGCAAACATCAATACGCGTAAGCGTCATTACTGGCTAGCACTCTCGGGGGGAAACTGAACGGACTCAAGGGATTCAAGAGGTTTTATCCTACAACACTCTATCCAAAAACCACTGTGGCTTACAGAGGGAAATTCTTTGATGTTTTTCAAGCGCTGGTTATTTGGTTCCCATCCAGATGGTCCCATGCCGGAAACCCCTCGAGGACCTGGCTGGACACTTCACCGAACCTTCGCAGCCCAGGGAGGAATGCCTCGGCCAAGACGGATCCTGAAGCTGAACATTGGGGCGAGCCGGCTAGTCTCAATTCCCATGGATGATCATGTTAATGGCTAAAACGACGGGATATAACTGATATATAACATTATAATGATAATAACATGGTATAACATGGTATAACATGGTATAACATGGTATAACATGGTATAACATGGTATAACATGGTATAACATGGTATAACATGGTATAACATGGTATAACATGGTATAACATGGTATAACCCATTGTCACACACACCCATCTGACTGACTTTGAAAAAAAAAAAACATCAGACGGATGCACCTTGAAGATGCAGTGTCGCTGCAGCGCTCGGACTTCTGCGAGTGCCAACATCAGATTTGAAATTCGCTCAGAACGTAAAAACCAAAGCAAAAATACCACAGTTGCAAACAACAGCATGATAGATGTTTGGCATGATAATCTTTTTAGTTGGACTATAAAACTAGATAGTTATAAAACCAACTCAGCATGATAGACTATAAAGGCTCACCCAAAACAGCTGCCTCCTGTCGAACCAGGGAGCCGCCACAATCGAAGGAGGCCTCCGCTGATTGGGAACCCTTGGGGGCATGGTGACATCTTTTGCATAGCAAATCTCTGATTTCCTTACCATTGAGGTACCATCCGGTAGTCAAATATGGCCCTGGTAATCTAACATGGTGGGAAATCCCTCATTTACAGATGATTTGCCCGTCAAAACCAACATTAATGGGGGTCGCCAATCCAGCTATGTTTGATTTGACTACGGTACCCACTTCGATAGATTTGTTTTTTGAAGAACCCTAAAATGTCAATGAAAATTTTAGCACCATAGCCAAAGAACAATCACGCGGCCTCGTGATCAATGATGTCTTGCGTGGACAAAATATTCAGCTCACGTTCGGATGCCTGGAAAATATGCTGCAGAAAACTGTATATACTCTTATCCTAAAGCAGCTTGAATTTGGCTTTGGTTCCACTGGCAAATGATCTGGACGAGGAACTATTCGGTGCATAGTCACGCAGCCTGCCAGGTCATGGGTGGGACTCCTGTGTCGGAAACCATCCCAGTTCTTAGCTTCAAATCGCTATGGATCCAAGACCTGGCTTCAACAACTCTGGTGGAATACATGTTACTTCCCGCTTCTGGGGAATTTATAATTGTTAGGATATTATATATACACACAGTATACATATATATATATATATGCATACCCACCCTCATCATGATGTAGCCGTCTTTGTAATCCCATGCATATGTACATGTACTGTATATATTAACCCGATTACTTTACTTGGGTGGTTGGATGATTGGATGGTTTACCCCCACTTTATGTGTATATATATATATATATATGTCGCCCAGGCCGCCTAAGCACGCGGCCGTTGGCCCCAGAACCTGCTGTGTATAATATGTATATATATATATACACTATTATTATCATTACACTATTACATGGATATGGTTGGTTCATCACCATGATATCAGGCTCTATATTGGTTAATGTTAATCCTGCATTTTGGTCCACATGTGGGCATGGAACTATTTGAAAATGTCCAACCCCAAAACAAATGGATGGTTCCGGATCCAAAAAATTGTTGGATTCCCATGGCTGCGGGTCGCCTGGACCAGACTCAGTGCTCGGCACAGCTTCAGGCGGAGCCACTCCGCCCTGCCAGGTCAGTACCCATTCCTTAAAACTGAGGATCAAAGCTGAATTTCTTATGATATCTGAAGCCATTCAGGACATTCACGAGGATTGTTTGAGAAATTACCACTAATCCTCAAATTTGATGCTACTCTCAGAAAATTGGAAGGGGGTTGGAGAATTGAGAATCAAGAAAACTGAGGATTGAAACCAAGAAAATGTGACATAAAGCCAGCATATCCAACATGTTTTTTGAATGAAGCAAAAAAACATGTGACAAAGGCAGCCAAATCTGAAAACCAACAACATAATACAAAATGTGAGACAAAACCAACAAAAAATGCCCGCTGAAACCAACAGAATCTTGGTCTACCATGGCCTCATCAGCCCAGCACAAGGATGCACCCCACAGATCAAAGGAATCGGTCATGGCGGCCACATCGAAGGGAGAAATCCGTTTCTTGCTACGTGGCCGTTCGTGTCCTGAAGAAACAGCCAAGATTTCTTTCAATTCCCTACTTTTCCTATTCTTTTACAGCCAAGATTGTTTCTAGCCAAACAGAACTGGTTTAAGTCAGACTAGCTGGAATCTCTCGCGTCTCTTCTTGTTTCCTTTTAAAAGCACTATATAAAGCTTTTGAGTCGAAATGCCATGGTTGTGAAATCTCAAGCCTCAGGTAGCGGCGCAGCACTGTTTCAAGCAAGACGTTCTCTAGCCATTCATCTCTCTCGTCATTCCGGCCGCAATCTGTGCCTCGCTTCCAGGTTGGTCTGTCCAAGATTTTCCAAGCACGAAAGCCTAAAGATCCTGAAAAAACCTCCTTTCCCGCCAGGAAAAAGATAGACTCAGCCACTCAGTGATCATATCATGGCGACTCTGGTCGTGGGTGGGTGACTTGGATGGGGGGAGTCATGGATTCCGTCTAGTCTCATTGTGTTTCTTGTAGGAGACCAAGTCTGGTTTCAAACTGTGTGTGTGTGTGCAATGACACTTTGCAGAAAGTTGATGGACGAAATCTCCCAGCAACGCACATTTGCAGCGTAGAGATTGTCGGTCGCTCCAAGCTGGAACCCTTCATTTTTTCTGAAGTGAACAGCTTGGAAACACTTCGCAGCTGGCCATCGGCCACCCTCCGGTCAAGCATCATAGAGTCGATAGGAACAGCTAGATTCCTTTGAGATTCCACCCGACATGTCTGGAAGGACGAAAAAAAAAAACAATGATGTGGTGGCTCTCTTGAGGGTAATGAAATGGCTCGCGCCAGCTTTCGCAGTGTCTTCAACTATGTTTTATGTGACACATCTTTGTTGTCAGACTTCTTGACGGCGGTTTTTCAGACTACATCAGCACAATTGAAATGAAACCTATGATGGCCAAAGCTCCGAAAGTGATGGCAGCCTTCCGACTCACCTGAGGGGGTCATTCTGAGATGCCCACGCAAAAAATCGAATCATTGATTTCAATAAATTCGGTTCAATCACAAAATTCATCAAAATTCCACAAGTGGACAGCCATGGACAGCCTCAAGTCCTTGGTTTCACTAAGGAAGCGGCATTGATGCCGCCATAACTTCCACCCAAGGCCAGAGCGCACACCACCGGAAATTGCCCATAGCCAGCAGAGAAACTCAGGGACCAGAATCCCACATGGAAACTGATGAAATTGATAAAACTGTTATATAACTGTTATATTTCATCATTATATAGAGCGTTTGTTTCGATCTCACGTCCCACGAAAACCAAGGAAGACTGCATCTCAGATCTATCAAGGATATGGTTGTGATGGAAAAATTTGCCACAATCCCATCATGATGATGCAAGTCCCAAAGTTCTGAATAAAATTAAAGGAACCAGGAACGTACCTATCAAATCATAGAATATACAATCCGCCACAACCACACTGCACCCGACCAAGCTGGCCTATATCTTGTTGCTGACCCTCCATAGACAAAGCCCTCTGCTTCTGGAGTTTCTGGTTCCTGCCATTCTCCTCACAACGGTTTCACCGTGCAACACCTACAAGACCTTTACACTTTACACAATAATTTGTGCATCGATTGCATTTGTTGGCAACTACCGGACGTAGAATATTAAAATGTGGCAGGATTCACAAAGCCTCGAAACGCGGATCTTAGTTTCCCGCCCAGCCTGGTGGCCGAGGTGGCAAATTTGCATCCCGTTGTTCTGGATCAGTACCACTTCCATCCCGGGCATACACCGGCGTCACAGTCTGTTGAGACACAGCAGCCTCACCAACACAGACATGTAAACGTCCACTGCACGGCCCAAATTTGGCCTCAAATCCTCACAGATGCTGACAATTCAATGATAACCAAATTGTGCACTGCAACCTGGGCATTGGGCCTTGCAAACTGGGCAACTACTCCATCCATTGCTGGGTTGCAGGTTCCCATATGGAGACCTGGCCAAAGTTCGTAAAATTCACCTCCATATCGCCCGCATGTTGTGTTGCATTTTTTTGAGCCAAACAAAATTTCAAACACCCCCTTGGGCGAACCTGCGAGGGGCCGAAAGCCACAAATGCAAGCATCTCCAACAGAACCTGGGTTCAAGAGTCAGGCGATTCAGTGAACCAAACCATTTGGACATCTGGGATGGTTTGATCAATCACAAACTGAGTTGCCAACAGGTGCCCGCAGCGTGTCACTACTGGTTCGAATGCCGTTTCGAAGCATATGTTGCATTCAAACATCAGCGCGGCAGGGAAGCGGTGTGCAAATTTTGGTACATTTAGGTTTTTTCGATGTGATGTTTCCGTGTTTTAATTGCCGATTTAATGACCAATAATGCGAAAAAATGTTCATGTTTATTTTCAGCACACGTGTGACATTGACATTATTCGAAAAATGTCTCGCAAAATTGCAAATGTGTGTTGCTGGCAAAAATGTGTGTTTTGTTGCATGATCAATTAACTGTTGTTTGGGACCTTGATTCCAAATGGGGCGGTAAAACAAACATGTCACAATGACGACATACACGTATCCATCATTTTTCTCTCGTCGAAATTATCAATTCATGTTCCGATGAAAAATATCAAATTCACAGACAAGCAGCGTTCAAGTTGTTGAGCATTATCACAAAAATCAACCAATAGATGCACCTACACATGCCCAAAAAATGTCAGCCACTGATGTAAATGGTTTTTTCAAACCCAAATCCACACCATTTTGTTTTTCCATGGTGACTATTCAACAAAATTCGCACAAACAGCAACGTTACGCAGGTCGACCAACACGGTGAAGGTAAGAATTGGAATCTAACCCCAAAAAACCACACCACCGTAAACCCCAAACAGTGGTTGGATAGCAAGTGTTTTTGAAAAGCATTGTCAGACACATGAAATATCATGGAAAATGTGTTGGCAAAAATGGCAAAACGTGAAACAAACCTCGTAAACAAGTTCACTCGGTTTTTTCTCTGGCCAAGCTGGCTGTGCCGGATCTTACATGCAAAACAGACATGCGAAATCACACAAAAATTGTTGGCGCATGACTTGGTCTGACTCGCGAGCTTTCACATGAAATTGGTGTGGGCGACAGCAACCCAAGAAGGGTCAGCTGCCCCAATTTCCGCAAAAATGACGCCACACACAACGACGCCAGCACCCAGGCTCCAAAACGCACAAAGCCATAGACGTCTTGCAGCGGCATCCTGCAATCGCAGCAGCTGCAGCGGCGCAAGCATCCAAGTTCCAAAGTGCACATTGCCATAGAAATCCCTGCAGCGGCACCCGCTCCCAGACTCCAAAGCGCATTCTGCACCTTGCAGCAACCCCTGCACAGAAACTCAAAAGCACACATATGGCCATACACATCTTGCAGCGGCACCCTGCAGTGAAAAAAATTTGCAGCCGCACATCGCGGCTTCACCAGAACCCAGGGCCGCAGCAGCAGCGAAGGCAGCGATCATGAAGAGAAACGAGACTGGGAAGCAAGTTGCAGCTGCATAATCTTTGCGGATCAGAATCCCATACGTTGCAAAGTAAGAACCCCTATATGCGAAGACTGAATGGAAAGGGTTGCCACTCTGTTTTCCAAGCCTAAATGGGCCTCACGGTTCCTCATGGAAATGAATGTGAAAACTCCTCAACTGCTTCTCGATTGTGTGTGTGTGTCATCCTTGTGCAGTGGTCCATGCAAACCCTGCTAAGACATCCATGAATGGTGGCATGACTGCTATGAGAATTTTTTTGCACTCCTCCTCTGAAAAGTGCAGCAAGGCTCAGTTTTCAGCCAAGAATTCTCTGCCACCAAACTCATCTGAAGTTTCCTTTTGGAAAGAAAATCATCGGGTTCTGAAGTTGCCCGGCACCTCAAATCACCATGTCATGGCAAAATGCCATAGCCAACTTCGGACCAATTGAATTCAATTGATGGTGTGATTCACCAACAATTCATCCATCGGATCTTTGCTCGAAGGTTTCCATCCTTTAGATGAAACAGTTCAAGTCTTCTGTATACGCTCTGTGAACTTCTGATAGCCAATGGTCACTACGGTTTCGAGCTAGACGATGCAACCTCTGAAGCAACCAATGACTCTTTGAGTCTAACTCCAGTCAACCCCGGAGCATCCTCCGCAGCTGACTCCAACACTGCATTCAGTAACTTGCATTTCTGCTGCATCATTGTCATGCCCAAACGCCAAAGCCTCATTGATCTGGTTTCTGAGGTGATCCACCAGTCTAGTCAGATGTCCTTCTCTTGTATTTGGATTCGCTTCGCCCAACTCTGCTTCCTCTCTCATTTCTTCATCTGAAGCTCATGTTCTTCTTCTCCTCCTTCCTCTGGTGTCCCAGCATCTGCTACTGTTGGTGCTGCTGAGGAAGAAGCCATAGCATAGACTCCAGTTGATGTCACTGCCGCATCTGTATTGTCTGGTTCCCTTTGACCGGATCTGAAAATTGCAGCATTTGTTTTCTCCTGCGCACGCATGTGGCCACGCTGCCCAGCTGTCACCTCAGTGTATCTCACAAATCCACCACAGTTCACCAAACCATCACGCACGCAATCAACGTAGCCCTCAAGTGCTGAGACATCTCTGTCTGTCTGCACCATGTAGTTGTTGAATGTGATTTCCAGTTGACTGAAGTTTTCTTGATGTTGATTCAAACGCTCGATGTGGTGCCCAATGAAGGTGTCTGTTTCCGCTTGTTGTAGTTCATCATGGGACAACCTCGTCATGAGTTTTCTCCACATCACATCCACGCTGTCACTGCAAAAAGCAATCCACCCCAGAGCCAAAAGCAAAATGAAAAACCAAATCGAAAATGTATCGTTGTTCTCATCGATCTTTGATTCATGGCATTGTCCATATTCTGTTGCTGTTGAAGTTTTTGGCCCAATGGGAAACTAATCTTTGCCAGTTTTGAGACATTTCTGCTTGTGGTGTAGCTCGCATGAGCTTGTTCAGCTTCTGCTTGTCCGACGCTTTCACCTGTCTCAACATAGATCATGTCGATCTCATTCATCAACGCCATCAAACGTTTTCTTCCCAAGCTCATTGTTCCAATGTCAGACAAATTGAACATATCAGGCACCTGAGCCAATTCTGTTTGTTGAGTCCTGCTCATATCTATATCTTGGACCCAAAGTATCTTCCCTGAAAGATGCCTGGTCTTTCCACATCCTTGCCTGTTGCAAAGTTGTCTGGCACTTGAAGAGTCGGTGAAGCGGATCTGGTGTATCTTCACCTGCAGGACAAGCTCCAGACACCGCTTGATGCAAAGTGCATCACTCATCGTGGAAACAATGCTGTAAAGTTCAGATTCACATGAACTCAGCGCGATGACTCTCTGCGTTTTTGCTGAACCAAAGAGATAGAAACCCTTCAGCATGTGCAAACCGCATGATATAGATCTCCTGTGTTGTTTGTTGGAGGCCCAATCTGCATCGCTGTAAGATTCCAACACCCAGAATTTTGTAAGGGAAACCTTCCACTTGCCCTCTGAAGGCTGTGGACATTTCAGAAAAACTCCAAGCTCACCTGTTGTTTTCAAATACCCCATCAGCTTCTTGAGGTGCTGAAGTCCAGCAAGTGTTGGTCTGGACATTCTCGATGCAACCTCCTTCGCTGTGAACATGATGTCTGGTCTGTCCCTTGACAAGTAGAGACACATCCCAACTATCGACCTGAACCATGATGCGTCCTCAGCTGAGAGTTCTGATACATCCTCCACTTGAATGGATGCATCACAAGGCACTGTCTGCCCACGCACTTGTCCAAAATTCCAAGCATGCTGCACAGCCACTCTGTTTCTTTGTGTTCCTTTTGACTTGTATGGAAAATTTTCCAGATGCCACACGGGATGGGAAATAGTTGATGAACTCCAGGGCACGCGGTTGCTTAACCCCAAAGCCATGTTGAAAGCCAACCAAAGACCAGGACCCAGCCGATGTGCAAACTAAGGTGCAGACTCCCAAGCTAAGTCTCCAGCACTCCTTCCTTATGCCATAACCTTTCCTGACTAGTCCTTTGACCTTCCGTGGCTCAAGTGGGCTTTCGAACCTTTCCTATTCCTGATACCTGGGCACCTGGTGCCACGTTGTGCTGTTTCCTACAGTGTATCCTCACAGTGTTGCTACAGGCAAACCTATGCTGACTTTCCAGTCTGTTCCACGGTCTTAATTCACCTTGCCCTCTCTTCCTAAACCTGCTAGGCCTGGAGCACAATACTTACAATGCTCCGCTACAATGCGGAAATCTACACACACACAAGTAGACCTCAAACCTGTTGCCTGGTGTATCGCTCTCTCTAGCTACGCGCACACAACCTAAACGCGGAGAAACAACTACGCTTCGCTTACACCTCCAGCGACTAGCGCAGAACAAGGCCTAACAAATTCTTAGCGCAGCTTCCCTGGGTCTTAATTACGCTCGGCGGACGGCGCGAGCAGGCGAAAACACCTGAGGACCGTTATAAGAATCTCTCTGCTCAAGACGAAGTCACCCTTTTGCACTCACGCAACTCACACGGAGAGATCTAGACACCAAGCACAACAACGAAAGGTCTCCTATGCTGTTTCTGTCTTTGTTCAAGCCCTTCTTGCTTGAGAAGAAAATGAATTCACGAATGAAATTCGGGTTGAATTCTCGAATGCAGCAAAGGTTCACATGCCAGAAACATTTGAGAACAAACAGTTTCAATTCTTCCTGCAACGATTGACCTTGCAACTGTTCTTCCACATCAAACTGTCAAACATGCAAAACTCAACCATGACATCTGAAACACTTTCGTGATGCAACTTGGACATGTTGCAGTCACGATGCCATGCTGAATCAAAGAAAAGGTCTCACAACATGCAAACATGCTGTGCTGTACGTTCAACACTATTGGCTATCTCACGCAGAGATGAAAAATTCCTCCAAAACGTTCAAAGCGTTTACATTCCAGTTTGCGCACGGCAAACAACTAACATGCATAGAAAACACTAAGCAAACTCACTGGCGTCACATGCAATCACCATCAGTTCACCTTGAAATCGAAAATGGCCAAACATATGTCCAATCATAGTGATACTCGGTGGATTCAAGACTGCAAAGTCTCATACGTTCAGCTTTCATATCGTTGCAAGGTGATACTTGGAGGATTCCAAGCGTAGATAGGTGTTGCATCACTTGAAGGAGGAGGGCAGCACAAAGGGCAACTCACATATGCATTTCCACATTTCCATACATCGTGGCTCAGGATCATAACATCTTCCGAAAAATGGTGCTTGCAGTGA